AGTCAAAGCCATCCTCCATCAGCTGGCTCAATGCTGAAACCCCCAGTTTAATAACTCCTTTAAGTCAAAGCAAGGAACCCTGGTGGTGCAGTGGATTAAGCATTCCACCTGCTAACTGCCAGCTACTCTGTGGGAGAAGGATGAGGCCATCTCAGAACCCCTATGGAGCAGTTCTACTCTGCCCTACAGAGTCACTATGAGGCAGAGAAGACTCCAGGGCAGGGGGTTCGAGTCAAGGTATTGGGGGGAGCTCCTGCTAAAATACCAACGATATCTAGAGAAGGAGAAAAATGCGTTGAGAGACTCTTCCTTTAACCTCCAAGATACATCCATGTCCCTAGTTAGTCCTCACCTGTCAAACCCTAAGAGGAGACTCAAGACAGTTAAATTTTGACGGAAGGAACTGAGATTAGGAAAGGAGGGTCCTGTTGGTTTTGAGTCTTGGAGAGAAGTAGAGGCAGAGAAAGCAGGAAGGGGGGAAAGGCAGAATGGGAACACTGATGGCCAAGCAGCTCCTTCACAATCCTGCTGCCCCTGGCCTTGCTGGCAAAGCCACCTACCTGTTCATCCATACCCACCCCACAAATGGCTGCTGAGCACCCAAGTTCCAGGCACTGTGCTGGACTCTGGGGATAAACTGGCAAGCAGAGACAGACACAGCTGCAGCCCTTGTGGTAGTCAGTCCCCTGGGAGGGTCCCACAGTAACAAAGAATCACAAAAGTATGTGGGAAACCACCATGGTGGCATGTGGTGTGTGTTTGATAATGATGTAACAGGAACATGACCTAACTTGGGGATGAGGAGAGACTGTCCTGAGGAAGGGTCTTTCAGCTGAGGTTGGAGGATGAGCAGGCATGGGCCACTAGAAAATGGGAGATGAGTGGACTGGGGAAGCTGAGAGAGGAGCAGAGGTCATGGACTGGATAGGGTGCGGCATATTCCAGAAACGAAGACAAGCCCAGTGGGTGGGTGTCACAAAGGGGGTGTTTTGGGGGACATAACTCCTCTCATATAATATCCTTTCGTTTTCCACTACCACTCCAAATAGACACAAGCAAATCACCCTGTCATTGAAGCTAGTTCAACTCATGGTAACCCTATAGACCCATCCGGGTGATTTAAGACAACGTGGCTATCTAGCCTCTTCCAGCCAGACTGCCTCCCTCCAGCCCTCCTAAAGAGCAGGTCTGGGATCACTTCACTGTCAGTATGGCTGGAAGTGTGGGTTGGGCTTCAGCCTAACCGACTATGACAATAATTTGGGCCTTTATCATAAAGGCAATGGGAAGCTATTGAAAGCATTAAGGAGGGGTAGGGACATGGTCTTAATTTTGTTCTAAAAGGTCGTTCTGGTTCCAGGGCAGAGAACAGCTAGGAAGTAGTAAAATAGGCAAAATAAGATCAGTTATGAGGCTACAATACCCCTTAGGAAAGGTTGCTGTTGTTGTCAAGTGCCATTGAGTTGATTCCGACCCATAGCGACCCTGTATAGGGTTTCCAAGGAGCAGCTGGTGAGCTTGAACCACCGACCTTGCAGTTCAAACAGCTTTGCAGTCTGGCGCATTAACCCACAGCGCCACACCAGGACTCCTTAGGAAAGGTCGCACAGATCAATGAGGTGGCAAGGAAAATAAGGAAAAATGAACAAATTTGAGAAATGCTGGAGTGTTAATATCATCCCAGCATAATGATAATTTAAATTCATAGAAGGGAGAGTAAAAGGTATATAGGGTGATGTAACAGTTTTTAAAATAAGATCCCAAAATTCTTTGACACTCCTCTCATCCAGAGGTCATGTTCATATCCTTTCCTCTTGAGTCTGGGTTCTGTGACTATTTGACCAATAGAATGCGGAAGAAGTGATGTTGGGCCAGTTTCTGGGCCCCAACATTAAGAAATTGGCCATTTCCCCTTCCTTTCCTTAAAGATGTTTGCTCATGGGATTCAACCACCGTGCTGTGAGGAGGCCCAAGAATCTCTGTTTCAACCTAGCTGATGTCACACAGAGTAGAGACAAGCTGCTTTTGCCAACCTCCATTAAAATTGCAGATTTATGAGCAAAATAAGAGATTGTCATTGTTTTAAGTCACTAACTTTTGGGGTAGTTTATTACATAGCAATGGGGGTAGGGGAGATAGTAGGTGGCTCCTGGGATTCCAGCATTCATTTCTGATGGAGTTTGATTTATTGAGACAGAAATCCATGGAAAGAAACTGCATTTGGAGAAAAATATCATGGAGTTGGTTTTCAATTTCAGCTTCAAATTGAGTTTGAAGTGTTTTTGAGATATCTAAGTTGAGAATCAAATGGACTGTTGGACTTCTAGGTCTCTAGCTCAAGAGAGTGGTCAGGTTTGGAGATAGACATTTGTGACTCAAATGGAAATGGATGTGGATGAATGGAAAGAGAAGAGGTCTGCAGATGAGCACGAGGACTTCTGACATTTTATGGCAGGACAGAAGAGCATGAGGGTGCAAAGGAGACATGGAAGGATCAGGCCAGGAGAGTAGGAGGAGAACTAGGAGAGAGTGCATAAATGATTCAGAAAGGAGGAAGAGATTGAGCAAGTCAAACACTATCAGGAGTAATCACATCCTGTGCTAGACGCACTTTCACTTGGGTTTCTTCGTGACCAACATCGCAATAGACAACATGGCTGGGCAACTGAGAAGCCCTGGGCTGGAATGTTGAAGAGCAGAGGCAAAATTAGGTTCACACCTGTGCATTCTTCTCTAGAGCCTTGCTTCTCAAACTGTGGTCCCTTCTCAAGCAATAGCATCAACTGGATTCTGTTAGAAATGCAGAATCTCAGGTCTACTCAGAACTTACGGAGCTCTGGTAGCGTAGTGGTTACAAATGCAACTGCTAACCTCAAGGTCAGCAGTTTGAAACTACCAGCTGTTCCGTAGGACAAAGATGAGGCTTTCTGCTCCTGGAAAGATTTAAAGCCTCAGAAATCTTATACAGGGTCGTGTGAGTTGGAAGCGACTCCACAACACATAACCGCTACCAGGTAATGTATGCTCAGAGTGCAGATGCCTGCAGTTGGACCTCCAGAGTTAAGGTGCCAAACCAGAAATTGTCTTAGTTTCCACACCCCTGAGGAAACTTCCTTTCAACTGATTGGCTGCTCACAGTAGATCTCATCATAAAGTTGATTATATTGTATTATGTATGATCATGGGGATTACTGCACTTTAACTGCTAAACCACGGAGAATTCTGACCCATTCAAATGAACACAAAACCTTATACTATCACAGGCTGTAACTGAGTAAGGTGCAAAACGGAACTGAAGATCATATGCAGAGTATCAGCCTACATTATTTCAAATGTTCATTAAACCTACTTCTTCTCAAGCGCCAACATTAAACTTTACGCCTAGGCTGCCCATCAGAATCACTTGGAGATATATATATATATATTTTTTTTTTTTTAATCAGAGAGATGTCCCGAACCTACTTCCAGGATTAAGACTCAGAAGGTCAGGGGATCTTAGGCATCTGTATTTTTACTCCTCAGGTGATTCTGATGGGCAGCCAGGATAGATGGCCATAGCCTGGTTGTTTCTCTACGAGGAGACACAGAGATTCACCCAAAGCCTAACCCTGCACACAAACGCTTCCTGCAGTACCAGCTTCTGACTGTGCTCAGGCCCATAGTAGGTGGTGCTCAGATCCCACATGGGAACCAGACTGTGGGGATTGAAGTGGAAACAGAGCCCAGGGGCACAGAACAGATGTAGGGCCAAGCTATCATCTTGTAAGTATATTTGCAGGTCCACACTGCCCTGCTTCTGGCTTGGATACATTGGGCACATGGCCACTCTTTTATCTGATTACCATTACATGTGCAGCTGAACCCCTATAAACTGTACAACCTGAGGGAGGCCATGCATCGAGCCCAATGTGCAGGTGGCACCGGGCTATGCCATGTCCAGCTGGCAAGGTAAACCCAGGGAGCACCCCTGTCTATGTGACCAAGGAACATGGCACTTCAAAATGGGTAAGTGTAAGGCAATGCATTAGAGGACATAGGTCTGGATCATGGCTCTCAGAAAGGATACTAAAATGACTTCACCAGCCTCAAAAAGTAAGGAACATGGAAATTTAATTCCCATCAAAACTCATGATCATGCATCTGTGGGTTTACTGAAATTTTTTAGATGGGAAGGAAAAAAATGCATTCTTTCTCAAACTGGTACACTTAGGATAGTAGATTCTACTGTTTCTCTGAAGCAATACTTCCCTATGTGTTTCTAATGTATCAAGGAGTTTCCTCTAAGTCTAGGCAGTTGGAAATTTTTGTGTGTTTTTTTATTGGGGTTTAAAAGATTTTAGTGTCTCCAGGAAGAACTGCTTTGAGACACTGTTGTTTTTTGCTTCTGCCTAGAGCTTTCCTGTTGGGTTCCTTTTTATACATCTACTTTTCTGCATCTGTCCTTTCCATCCCATCCAATCTGTCATGGCATCTGGTGGCTGAGAAATTCCAGAAGTGGACGAGCCTTAGTTCTACACACAAGTTGGAACATTTTTTCTATCGGTTGTTGAGAGGAGCCTAGCATACTGTGGCTTTTGGGGAGATCATTAGAGCTATGTTCACAGTGACCTCTAACTCCCCTTCCTGGTGCAAGTTGGCCAGATCAGAGCTCACAGGGGATCAATCACCAACATCTAGTTAATTTCCTGCACCTTAATCTGGCTCACACTAAAAATAACAGCAGAATCAATAACTGGCATCTCTGGAGTGTTTATGATGTACTAGAATCCCTGGATGGAGCAGATGAGTCCTCTGCTAACTGAAAGATCAGTGGTGGTTCAGCCCTACCCAGTGTTGCCCAGGAGGCTGTAAGGATTATTATCAATTAAACCCCACAAGGCAGTTCTATTTGAGGGCAAACAAACCTTGGCCTCCCAGGTATGCAAAGGAGAAGATGATGTCTCCTCATGAGGTTTCCTGGTTGGTCCTAGGTTTGATCTGTGAAGGCCTCCTTTACTCACCTGTATATGCAATAGCTATTTCCATGCCACTGTGTCCATATCCCTTATGCTGCTCCATGAGCCGCTCCTATCCTATCCACTGCTGTAGCCCCACCTCCTTAGTGTGCCCTGGTTTGGGCTGGCTGGGTACTGGAGGGAAGCAGACAGGGGCCACATACCTCATCAGAAAAGACATTCTCACTTTGAGGCTGGAAAACATGCCCAAGAATTGGTTTCCTCAGATGAGTTCACTTAGGAGGAACTTTCCAGGAAGAGGAAAAGTGTCCCACTCCAGGCAATTCAGAGATATAAAGGACACTTTTCATTTTATCTTGTTTCATTTTGTTCCTAAACCAAATTTAATTACAGGGCTGCAGCCAGGTGACACATTGTTGTTAAGCATCTTTGAGTCGATTCCCACTCATAGCCACCCTGTATAGGGTTCCTGTTGTTGTTGTAGGGTTCCTGAGGCTTTTTAAATCCTTGCTGGAGCAGAAAGCCACGTCTTTCTCCTGAGTGGCTGGTGGGTTTGAACTCTGGTTCTGTGGTTACCAATCCAGCGCATATTGTAAGGAGCCATTGCACTCCTCTGCTGCAGTATAAGAGGCAAGACTACTTAAGGTATGTCTAGCAGGCATTGCGTATTTAGGAAATCATTGGCAGAGCTGATGACAGCATGGATGTTGTGAGATGCTATAAACCAGAGGTCAAGGAAGCTTCAGAAAATTGCTGCCAATGTCACTGCTGTCTCTAGATGTAAAGTGGCCAAACAGTGGGTCGCAGAATCCTACTACTGTCCAAACTCCCACTGGGCCGGAGACTGCAGCTCAATTGTATCCACGACCAAAGAACAAGTATAGGGGCAAATATGTGGGAGGGGAACGTGGAGGAGACTTCTGGCCCAGCCAGAAAGTTCCATGTTGCCATTTCCTTTCAGCCTTCCTCCCTCCCTCCCTCTGCTTGAAGCAGCCTCCTTGTCTGGGTCTGATGGCTGAGACAAGCTCACTGATGATGGTGATCCTTGCAGATGTCCTCATTCCTGTGACTAACATCACAAGAAGCAAAAGGGCTGGGGAATCCAGAGCTCTGGGATGGGATGTTGAAGGGCAAAGGCAAGATTAGTATTACATCTGTGCCCATGAGCCAATTCTTCACTAGAATCTCAACTCTCAAACTGTCGTTCTTTCAAAGCCTTCACTCCTGTGGTGTCTGCACAAAGTATGTGCTCAGTAAATAGTTGTCCGATGAATGGATGAACCAGCTGATCCATCTTAGTCGATGACGAAGGACACTCTGCCCACTGGTTAGTGTATTCCTGGGCAGGGTTGAGCCAGCCTGAGCTCCTTTATCTCATTCAGATCAACATCCAAACACTTTGAGGAAGCCCTTCAGCATCTCTCTGCCCTCCCAAGGCTGAGCTTTGAGAAGTCGCTGGGGGTCTGGGAGAAATGAGCAAGGGCATAGGGCCAACTGGTCCTGGGGCGTGAGCTCTAAAATAGAGCCTCCTTCGTCCACTTTCCAGGGGATGGGGGAATAGGCTTCTACGTCCAGGTGTAACTCATTGCCTCCTCCCCACTTGCCTACACCAGTTTCTGAATTTACACCTAGTGAGATATCTCAGCATGGCTGAACACATTGAACCAAAGATGTTACTAAAATCCCCCAAATTCCCAATTGCTCGATTTCTCTCTTTCTCTCAATTCTACTCCCTTCATGAGCCCAGGTACCCCAATATCAAAGCTTCCATCCTAACCCACTTAGCACTTGATTTGAATTCAACTACTAAAGCAAAGGATATCCGACTTCTTTCTAGAAGTCTCCCCTTGTTCTGAGTTTTCAACAATTAAAGTACAGATGTTACCATTGTCTCTTTCTTTGGTTTAGGATAACATTTAAAATCCTTGGCAGTGAACATACCTAGATTAACACATCTCGGATTTTCCAGGACATCCTTGATTTCAAACACTTTTTCTCACTCTGGAAGATATTGTATCTGAGTTGAGACACTGATTTAGGATCAGAAAATATGATCTTGAAAGTATTATAAATTCTTCATTCTAGAACTGGACTGGAATTTAATTACTAATAAGCAAATAAAAGCCATCCCGATTCTGGGCAGAAGCCTGGAACCTACTGCCTGAACTAGAATTTGTAATTTTCTCCAGTAGGAACACAATCATGTCCCTGGAAGCTCTTCCTAGGGAGTCTCTGGGAGACCACCCACCACTGGGAGCTGGACAGGGGAGGACTTACTCACCTGCACAGAGTGTCCACAGCATAGGCCTCATCTTCCCCACCATGGTCTTGCTTTCTATCTGTCCCAGACAGGTTAGATCTACCACAGTCTCCTTCTGCAGTTCTTCCTGCTCTCCTCTGTGCAGTCCAGTCTACATGCCCCACCCCTCAGCTAGGTTGGCAGGTAAGGCTACCTGTAGGATTGGACTCATGCCCCACCCACTCCACTGAAGGACCCAATAGGAACTTTCCCTGCCTTCTCTTTGAACCAGTCATCTCCCCAGCCTCCTCCTTCCTTAGTAGATGTAAGGAGTCCTCAAGGTGCTTCTCTGATAACTGACAGGAAATTGTTCCTGAGTAATAAAAAGGGCATCATCTCAGGGGAAGGTTCTGAAGCCAATAAAAGAAGGGTGTTGTCCACAATCACTCTAGACACACTCAAGGCATCACATGGTCTGTTTCTCTGCTTCCCTCCTCTTCTACAATCCCCACCTTACATTGCAGAGATGAAGAAAGAAAGTGTCCGCCCTCAGAGTTTGTAATCTGTTTGGGGACGCAGAGAATACACAAATAAACAAAGAAAATCACCAATACTAGAAATAATGTGACTAACTCTTCTTGTATGCTTGGGGTTGTTCCGGCTTTAAAACTGAAAGTCCCGTGCCCTGGGAAACTTCTCAGTCCCAGTCAAATAGTGATGGTTGGCTACCTGACTTAAAGGAGTGATAGGTACTATGGGAAACCACCTGGGAGATGATACAGAAAATGAAACTGGGGTAGGGAAAGGGGCTCTGCTTTAGATTGAGTAGACAGAATAAAATTGGGAGGTAAGCATTATGATTCTCTATTTTACAAATAGGATCTGAGTCCCAAAGTAGTTAAGTGACTTCCCCAAGTTTACACAATTAGTAAGTGGTCCAGCAGCACTCCAGTGGCCCAGATGTGAACCTCTGCCAAGTCCAGGAGTGATGACTGTGGTTACAGAGTAGACAGGCCTTCTCTTCTCTTAGAATCCCTTCCTTATCCATTGCCTCTCATAGTGGTCCTGTCTCACTCTCACTCTTCCCCATCATCTTGAACCATCCCCTGCCGGAGGATGCTCTCCAGTCTTTCTCCACTCCTCTCCATCTCTTTCTCCCTCATCTCACTCTCCTTTATATCTTGGTGACATTATCTCTTCCCAGAATATTGAATTCTATGGATGGGAATTGAGCCTCTACAGTTTCTCAGTTGTTGCAACTGTTCTTCCATTCTCCAACACTCATTTACTGAACCCCCAACATGCCCCCCAGGAAGTTACTTTGATGCCATGTGCCTCCTCATAGACCCCTTCCTTGGCCACCTGATCTACAAAAGCTCCTACCCTAGCCCTGCCAAGTCTCAGCCACACCACCCTGCTTGCTTTCTTCAGAGCTCCCTAATCTCGCTGCTCGATACTAGCAGCTTGTTTGTTTACTTGCTGACTTAACTTCTGTCTTCTTTTGTAATTTTCACAGATATTGCTGATTTGCTCTCCATAAGCATTATATTCTGCACTCTTCGCAGCAACATATAAGAATATCTATTTCCCTATTCACTCAGTGGCACATTTATCAAACTTTGGTAAGACAATTATCAAACTTTTTGATCTTTGCCAATCTGATAAGTAAAACTGATATTCTCATGCAGATAGAATTTATTTTTCATTTGACTTCAGTGAAATTGAAATTTAATCAATATATTTGCCCATTATTTTTATTTCTTTTTCTGAAAAATGTAGCTTATTTGCTCATATTTCTATTGGGCTATTGGCCTGGAGCTTTTATTTCGAGTTCTTTATATAAGAGAGATTAACTTTCGGATGTACTATCAAAACCAACTGCCATTGAGTTTATCCCAACTCATAGCGAGGCCATAGGGCATGATAGATCTGCACCTTAGGGTTTCTGAGACTGCCAATCTTTATAGAAGCAGACAACCTCATAGGTCTCCCAAGGAGTAGCTGGTGGATTTGAACCAACAACCCTTCAGTTAGAAGCCCAGTGCTTAACTTACTGTTCACCATGGCTCTTTTGGATGCATTAAGTATTGCAAATGTTTTACTGAGTATTTGTTTGTATGAGGAGGCTGAAAAGATTTGTGGAAAATGAAATAAAACAATAATGGAGTTCTGTGATCCCAGGTGGAGACCTGGTTGGCCAGCAGTGTGGTAAAACCTGGGGACTCTTGGGCCCAGAGTCAGTGACATAGACACAGAGGACTAGAGTGGAGAATGACGCGTCCAGCTGATAAGAAGAGAGGGCATATGCATAAGAACACCCACACTTGCAGATAATACCCACTTGACCTGGCATCAATGACTGGATGATCAGAGCTCGATTAGAAGAAAGAAGAAGAAGAAAAAAGAGTAATCTGATACAATTGGATGAACTTGACTACACCTATAGATGCAGTAACTCAAAAGAGGGAACAAATCTTTACAGCGAGGATCATTCCCACCCCCTCCATACACAGAGTAGACAGGGATGGGCAACTTGGACACTGGATACCCAAAATGGGGGGCTACAAAGGCAAGAGGTGACTGGCTTACAAGATTTCAAGAGGGAGCCTAGATCCAGTGGGTGCAGAGGAAGGTAGAATCTCTACTGAATAGTATCCAATCTGTCTGGGCAGGGCTAATGAAAGGAGATAGGGATAGGTCCCTTGTAGTACAATGGTGAATAATTATTATCAAGACTGACTGTGAGGGTTGGAAATGTAAAGGTGGTGTTTCATAGCTAAAGGAGGGGAGTGGTTGATTTTGCAGTCCAGGAGCAGAGGTCCCTGGGACCATCAAGGGAGAAGAGTGGATGGAGTGTGGGACCC